TCTTTCCCTGTAGTGCATCATATTTGTTAGTACTTAACACTTACCTAAAATGTCCCAGATTCTTACTATCCCTCTAAGTATAGAAGGCAAGTGTAAAATACATGTGGGTACAAAGACTAGTCTACTCTCCATGAGTAAACTCCTGGGGAATCTGAAGCAAAGGAGTATAAGCGATTTGTCCAAGGCTCTGGGGGGAGTCAGCATGAGAGTTGGGATTAAAATTCAGGAGGTCTTAGATCTTGACCTTATGGTCACATCACTACATGATGTTTCTCTCATTACAGTAACAACCTTACAACAAAGGTCTTTTTGGTGCTTACAACCAAAGGCAAGAGAATAGAAACTATATTCAAATCCTGTCAAACTTTCTCTTTAAGCAGGTTAGATTGCTAAGCCTCCTTGTGGCCTCCCTCCTCACAAGTGCTGCGAGGTCTACCTCCCCAGCCCAAGGAGCAAGAGACCAGAACCACAAATCAAACGTTCTTGCATGGTCACAGAGACAACTACCACAAAGGCAACATTTCCAGACCAGTGCCTATTGTCAAACAGAATCAACCCACATTTCAAAGCATGCCTGTTTTATTAATTTACTTTTAATTAGACTTAAATTAGTGAAGTGAGATGTGTTAATCAGCTGGATCATCACTGTAGGGAGACAGAACCTGCTCATAGCTGTTCCTCAAAGTTGCCCCAAGTGTGCAAATTTAAATACAGCCAAATGTCTTTCAAATCACACAGTCAAGTCAATAGAATCACAAGCCAGTGATTCCTCCCAGCAGGTACCAAAAAGCAGTTGGGCTATTTCAAGCACAAAGAATTTGAATGACGTTCACCAAAGTTTTGCCATCACCCAAGTATATTTTCCTCTTGAGACAGACCACAACTTGTCTGGGAAGAGAAGAAAGTCATGGGGAAGAGGGGGCCAGAAACAAATGGCAGCCACTTGCAATCATGATGGAGAGAGACAAGAATAACACAGGTCATTACTTAACAAAATGAAACAACAACAACAACAAAGTTGTTCACAAGCCCTGGCCCACCCCCCACCCTACCCAAGAGTGTTCATTGGAATGCAGATCACATCTCAGAAGCCATTGTTCCATCCGAAAAAAAAAAGAAAGAGAGAGATTCATTCATTAAAGCTGCAGCAGATGGCTGTGCGGCAGACAGGGAGCAGCATGAAGTAGGGCCCACCAGCTGGCAGCAACCGCACGGGCAACATTCAGTCGCAGCTGCACTTTCAGTGTTCCTTTCAATGGCTCTGCATTCCTGAGAGAGATACTTAGCAGGGGATCCCCTGCTTTTAAATGGGCATATTTAGGGATGGTCCATTCAACAAGTAAAGCTGAGTTCCTCCCCCTTCCACCACCATCACCCCCCCCCATCATCACTATCACCCAACAGTTCAGCTTCAGCAGGGAGATGTCAGAACGTAGTCCCTAGTTCATTTACACAAAAAGTGAAAGCACTTTTAACAAACTCTCAATCCATATTCCATCTCCCCTACATTTTTTCTAGGCGAAGGGAATGCGCACACTTTATCTATTAGACTTGTCAGCTCCTTAGAGCATAGGCAAGTTAAAAAAAAAAAAAAGTCCTCACCCACAAATGTGCTTCTTAATAACTGACATATTTCAACTGATGTACCTCTTCAAGTCCAAACCTTTTAGGACAAGCTAGAACTTACCATTTTAGACCTTACTATTTCTGATCTTCCTCCATTCTTTTCTCCATGTCCTGTAACTTCCCAATGTTGTTTGAACTTGTTGATATTTCTGTTAGCTACATTGTGAAAGTAGCTAGGAATTAGTAGGTCAACAGATAGGAATGGAAACTACTGCACCTACAGTTCTTGCATGGCTTTGCAAAGGAAAGCAAAAGCCTATATACATAATTCTCTTTGGCTTCAAAATACTGCAAAGCATGACACTTTTGGGCTTGTTGTTATTACATTAGCCCACAATCTGAAGCCCTTTTTCAGTCTTACTCAGGTAAAACTCCTGCTGAGAACCACGCAAGTCTCAACAGAGGAAAGACTTCAGGGTTTGCCCATTTTGGTGGAGTTCCATCATCACAACATAAGGAAGAAAGACAATTCCCCTTCTACTTTCCTACAGAAGATGAAAGACAATTCTCAGGGCCTCTGCCTGAATCTGGAACGTCTGATAAATAAGATGTTCTGAAAAATACAATATGTGTACAGTCATACTGACAAGTACTACTATTGTACCACTAACTGGTCGGAACACTTTCATCTAAATGAAATGTTCTCAAAACATGCTGTTCATAGAAGGCAAAAATTTAATGGAAAAAAAATGTTTTAACAAAGTTTTTTAAGTTATTCCAAGTCTGACAAGAGTTCTCCAAAGGATTTGGGGGAGGTGAAGAAGAGTGGAAGTAGAGTCGACTGTCCCTCCGTCTTCTACAGGAGATCTGCACCTTTTGTGATTCCTCTGTACTTGGACTGGAGAGAGGCAAAATAGATGAACAAAATCTAGTCAACATGTCCTACAAGAAGAGGTCTAAGACATTTTCATTTTGAAACACCATCCTTCAGACAAGTTTGAGACTAGAGGTTCACATGACAGAAGCTCTTTTATGGGAGATGGGGTACAGCAGAATCTCAGATTTAAAGAATTCTGAGCTTTGGCGAAACAAAACTGGCTGCAACAGGTGTGGCTTGGGCCCATCTTCACTTATTTCTTGCTAGATATTTTTTTCTGCTGAAGCAGTAATCAAGGCTCATAAAGGGTGTGCCATAAAGTAGGCTGAAATAAGGACTGATGGTTTATGTAGTTTAAATTATCAATATTTAGTTCTAAACAATAATATTGAATATTTCTGACAAAGGTAAAGAGACTTCATGCTATGCTTAGCCAATTGTATTGTGCTACATATACACTGGAGAACATATTAGTGATAAGAATATGATGTACGCTAAATATGCTTTGGTCATAACATAAGATTAAGGTACATAGCTACTAACTTTTGGAAGTCAAAGTTATCCAAAATCCTTCATTAAAATGTAGTTGTGATATTTGACTCAGCGACCTACATGTCAATGAATTCCACTTGGTGATAAATTATGCATCTCATCTAATTTCTCTAGTAATAAAGTGAATGTAGGGGAAAAAATATGAGCTAGGAAGAGAGGGCAAACGGAGAAAGATTTGGGGGAAAAAAAATAATAATAACAAATAAAATCAGTAATTAGTTCCCTTAATTTTCAACAGCAGTTTTTAAAAACAGTGAGACTATTTTGCATGCAAATATTTTTTCCATATGCAAATATATAGGTGAAAAAACAAAGTCTACAAAAATAAGGATTGCAGAATTGCCTACCAATTTAAAGATCAGATTGTAGTTCTTTGATTATTTGCTTCTCTACGCCTGGTTTATTTGTTCACTTGTCCTAAAGAATGAATTAACAAAATGAAAAAAAAAATGTTTAAAACCTGTTAAATTCTCTATGTAGTATAGAATGGATCATAATGTCCTACAGAAGAGAGAAGCCATCAAACTTCAGGACAGATTTGTAATTCATTCTAACAATGCACTGATGAAAATAGAATTGCCTTTAAAATGGATTGGTAACAATTGGTCTTAACCTACAGGGAGTTTATTAAGGAGAAGCTCCTATTCTTATCACAGAAGAACTTTTGCTCCTCGCTCTTCAGATTTATGAGATCATAATTACATAGCCAATCTCCTCTACTTATCTTCCATCGCCCTTATCGGTATGTAAAGGCAAACACAGAATGTAATCTTGCTGTAATTGGTTTCCAATTTCATCATCATTGTTATATGGACAGAGACAGTCATTCTAAGATTTAACAAAAAAAGGAAAAAGGAGACACTCTCCTATTAATTACCTGGTGTAAAACCCAAAATAAAGCATCTCAGCAAATCATTCAAGGCCCACACTTGTTTCATTTCCAAAATACAAACTATAATCATATTTATGTGGAAAGTCCTACATAAGAATGGAACCCACCATGTCCCAGTATGGTTTTTAATTTGTTACTCTCAGAAGTCTCCTTTGTCTGTATACAATGACTGGCTAGTCCCTGCTGCACTCCCAAGAGGAGAAAGAACAAAAGGATAAAGCTGGTCAAACACAGTCTAAACCAAGTTTATTTTTCTTCTTGTGGAAAGGAGGTGAAATAATCTCCATCCCATCCTTCTGGATAAAATAAAAAACAAAGGTGCCGAGGGGCAGCTCTAACTAGTGTTCTGGGTAATTTACATGGATTTTGTATCCTACACTATTCCTTAAAAGGGTGATTAATTACTATGGTAACCAGTGCATCACATGACATACACTTGCTCTGAAACAGCGACTATAGTGAACCCTCTTACTGAAACACACATGTCAAAAGGGTAACACAAACTCCTCAAGGGTTCACATTGTTTGGGGGCAATTAATCCTTTATAACAGGCTCTCTTCCTTGGGGGGGTAGGGGATTCACTCCATAAAAACATTTCCTAAAAAAAGTTCCTGAAACTATATTTCATCTAACTTTTAAGAGTGTGATGGGAAGACAGAAAGGATGTTGGAAAATCCAGATGAAAGTTTGGCTGCAGTAGGCACTCTGGGTGGCAGATATGGATTTCTTGTTGAAAAGAAAGACGTTGTATGGTTTCTTTCCTTTGGTGCCAGTACAATAGTTTGTTTTACTAGCACTTTACCTCTTTTTCACTGTACAAATTCTATCATTCCACATTAGTATACAGGTGCACATTACCATGATTTGTTTATAAAATCAGCTAGCACAGTTAAAAGATATTCACACGTGCATAGAAGCTGATTTTACACAAACACAAAGAAATGGCTGACTACCTATTTGAAATTAGAACTGTCATAATTACGAACCTAAAAAGAAAACAACCAAAAAAAAAAAAAAACCACACAAAAGAAGAGAACAGGGTCTTCCTTCTTGTCAATCTAGCCATATACTACAGATGCTTATTTTAGCTTCATTTCATCCATGAGATTGAATTTGGTCACAAAGAGACGACATTAAATTAAGATTTCATTTTGTGCTCCCAACATATTATTCAGACATAATCAAGATGCATTGTAAAGAGACCGGTTATGAAGAAGTTTCCACTCCATTTCTGACAACAAGGCCAGGACAGACACCTAAGAAAATATACAGTTGCTGCAGTGTTCATATCATTAGGAGCCTTCATTAAGAATAGATAGACATTTCAACACAAGCAGATAACCTCAATGGCCGGATCCAGATGAAGGTGCATGAGGTTTGTGGCGCTGCAAATCTTTTTTCAGTGCCACAAACCGCAAGCTCAGCACATTAAAAACTCTGCAAAGCTCTGCTAATTTGCGGCACCAGAGCAAAATTTGTCACCAGGATTTCCCAGTAACAAACAAAAAAAACAAAAAACCCCCCACAAAAACCCCAACCCAACCCTGAATAAAAAGAAGCAGCTGAAAGCACACCAAAGTAGTGTGCACCAGAACAGAGACGGGAACAGGCAGCCCAGAGCCCAAGACTGCCTGCTCCTGTGTCTCTGTGTGCAGTGAAGCTCCGTGCTGAGGCACCCAGCTGGCAGGGGTGCAGTGTGCCTTGAGATGCGGGAACAGGCAGACCTGCCCTGGCTGCTCCCATTTCCACATGCCTCAGTGTGGGGGCTGTGCTGCAGAGGGACATGGAGCCCGTCTTGAGGCACCCTGAGCCCCAGCCAGCTGCAGAGAAGCTGCCTGGGGTGCAGGATGCCTCATCACAGGGGATCCACTACAGAGCTCTGATGGGATACAGGATGCTCCAGATGGCCAGATGGGATACAGGATGCTCCAGCAGGAGCCTCTGCAGTGCTCAGAGATGGAGGAAAAGGTAGCCCTGGGCTGCCTGCTCCCCCATCCCCATATGCTGCTCTCCAGCTGGCTGGGGCTCTGGGTGTCTCAGAGCAGGGGCTGCCTGCCAGCTAGCCCCACACTGAGGCACCCTGTGCCCCAGCCAGCTCCCCCACCTTCCATAGCACATGAAGCAGTGGGACACATTGTCTACCCTCCAAAGCCCATGGGCAGGGGTGTGCACTGTGGCACAAAGTAGCAGCACAAATTTATGCCACTACTATTTGTGCTGCTGCATATGCATATCCCTGCTCATCCGGACGCAATCAATATGCCAACATGATCTGATGCACAAAAAAAGATATCCTTCCAATCAAACACTTATCTGGATGGTACCTATTCACAAGCTGTGAAAGCTTTGTCATAGGACTGATCTGCCACAGTGCTGTTGCTTTGGCCTCCCCCAGGGCTGCAGCAAAGGGGGACAAGCGGGGCAACCGCCCTAGGCACCGAAGTGAAGGGGCACCAATAGCAACTGTCCAGCCAGGGTGGGGGCACATGACAGAGTCACGAGCAGCTTGTTTGTGGGGGGGAGAGCTACAGGGATGGGGGAAGGGCAGCTCCCACTGCTGTGTGCATTCCAGGGCAAGCATGGGGAGAGGCATGCGCCCCCCGGATCTGTGCACAGGGCTAGGGTGGGATGCTGCTGCAGACTTTGCCCCGGGTACCAAACTTCATTGCTACAGCACTGGTCTCCCTTAATCTAAAGTGGTTTCCCCAACCAAACTAAACAATATCCAAGAGCTAAGTGTGTACAAAGATTTCCCCTGCCAGAATATCATGCTCCATGTTGACCAAAATGCATAATTAAAATCATGTTATCATCATACTCTGGGACCTACATGCCAAGATTTAACAAATAAAAATAGGAACTCAAAGTCAGTTCTCCTTCTAAATCAGTGTCACAAAGTGCCATTGGACACATCTACACAATACATTTACTGCGCATTTACAGCTCCATCCTGCTCCCTGCCGGGGCCCTGCAGCTGCACATTGTGGCCCTGGGCCCCAAGTCTCATGCTGAGGCCCCCCAGCCCTCCCCAATTCCCCCCTCACCCCAAATGACTTGCAGGAACTGCTCTCCAGGCTGCCTGGTGTCCACATGCATGCATATGGCACCCTCTGCTTGACCACCCTTTTCCTACTCCCCTCAGCCCCTTGCAGGCTGGAATTCTGCCAGCCTGCAGAGAGCTCTTTGCAAAACTGTAAAATATTCGAGTTTCTCTGTTAAAATGAGAAATCCACATTCTCCCCTGGTGAAGAGGGAAATCCATTTTTTCTCCATTTTTCCATGGGAGATGGAAAACCTGGATCCCTGCTGATCAGATAAAGTGTGTACATAGTCTTATGCATCTTCAGTTCAGCACATTAGTGTCTCCCTTTCAACATCTGGACACTATAGATCTTACCTGCTGTTGGGCTGAGTGAATCAATATATAGAATTCATTACCCTTCTTCCACTAATAAATACTGGCAACTGCAATTATAATAGAATACTTTAGGAGCATAGGGTGGGTTAAGAAAGTGAGAAGTAACACTTGCACAAAGTTGGTACAATGTGTGGGCACGTGTGCAATCTCTATATCCAAGAGCTCTCATATGACCAGTTCAGTGGATGAGCAATACTCTGGCAGGCTTTCTGCTCTTCGGGACAGCTTTCTTCAATACAAGTTCTGCGCTTTCTAATTGCAGCACTCCTTCAAAGATCTGATGTTGTAGGAAAGCACATGGCTTTTGCTTTTGGGCAAAACAGAAGGGGGGGGAAAAAAAAAAAAAAAAAAAAAAAAGAAGGACAAGGAAATAACTATAAGCCTCAAAAAAGCCAAAACATCTGCCCACTAAGAATAGCTATTCATAATGCATAAAGTAAGGGATCACTCTGAAAATAGTGTGTGATGTCACCCAAAAAAACCAAACAAACAAACAAAAAACATCTCATGAATTGGTT